CCCCGTTCTTTCTAGTTGATAACTCTTTTCTTTTAGAAGACTAATTACGCAGTGGCACAACCACTACCATAAATTTTCAATATTATTTACAAATGAAACATGCTTAACAAAATAAGGAAAGACATAAATTCAGAAAACTTTTCAAAATATTCACAGCACCATTAGTCACATATAACTACAAGAGAATAAATAAACTGTCAAAAGTTCATACAATGAGATCTTAAACATCAATGAAAATAAACAATCAGGAGATGCATAAGCATCGAGCCAGTCTCATAAAATTAATGATGAGATGCTAGACATCATAGGGTACAATCTGAATCAGACCTTAGCCCAAATAACAACAACAACAAAAAATAATCTAGGAATGATCTTAGAGAGAAAGATGTTGTTGATAAGTGTCGTTGATTTGGTTCCGACCCATAGCAACCCTGTATAGGGTTTCCAAGGAGCAGCTGGTGAGCTTGAACCACTGACCTTGCAGTTCAAATGGCTTTGCAATCCAGCACATTAACCCACAGCGCCACACCAAGACTCCCCTAAGAAATTAGTGAACTGTGATACAGTTCAAGCTCACCAGCTGCTCCTCAGAAACCCTACACAGGGTTGCTATCAGTCAGAACCAACTCGACGGCACTTAACAACAACAACAATATGCATGATATGTATTGTGTTTTATGACTGTAGATCAGTAAATAGTTTTACAAGTTTAAAGGCTGTGTTTTATTCACAGCATTGTAAGGAATGAAAAAATTCACAATCTACTTAGTCTTTCACTACACTATGAAATAAAAGATAAAATTTTATTTTTAAGAAATTGAATATTTCATATCAAATGAGAAACATTTTAAAGATTAAGTCAGAGAGAGGAAAGCATAAATGATAATAATGTTCAATTTATTGGGAATGCATCAGTCAGAAACATAGGATCATACAGCATGAGGAGAGCCACAGTAATTATTGTGCCTCTTTGAATATAACAGCTTAATTTCTGAGAAAAATAATAATCCCATTTCTCTTAAGCACTAAATAGTTGCATTTCGTAAATTTCACATTTTATGTTTCCAGATTTATATGAAATAAGTATTATTACATTCAAACTTTTATTATAGATAAAATATCTGAAAATGCCATAAACTAATTAATTTGGTAAAATTCCAAAGGGAAAGGGTAATAGAAAGAGGAGAGAACTACTAGTTGTATATTTTCATTATATTTATATTCATTTACTTTCCTGCAGAGTTAGTCCAGAGAACGATTGGTGATAAAGTCAGAAATTATTCATTCCTTTTAACCTCACATGCCTCCATCTAGAGTTGGTTGACTCATATCTTGCCCTCTTAGGAAAAGTTTTACTTATTTACTTTATTCAAGAAAATCTCTTATGTTACTAATACCATGAACCTATGGAAATGAGAAACTTTTATCATTTTCAAAACTTCCACCTCAAACTTTTAACTTTCTTACATTATCTTTTGCTTTTGTTTTGTTTTTATTTTCTGGGAGAAAACTTCAAATCTGGCAATGCATTTGTTACTTTATTGAAACTTGTCAGCATGGTGATTTGCTCAATTCCTCTCTACTTTAAGAAGTCTGTTTAATTTTACCCCCTTCATAAGGTTTTCTGTTCTTTCCTGGCTTGTATAATGACTCTAAAATGACTGCTATTCTTGCTTTGCATTTATATAATCTAGAACTTTTTCTGTATTTTTCTTTATCATCCTTTTCATATCATCTAGTTATCTAGTCCCTTTTAAATTTTGATGTCTGCTCTGTTTCTTAAGACATATTTTAAAAATTCTATTGGTGGTATTTTTGGTGGTATGCTGTCGAGCGGTTCAACTCTCAGCAAATCTATATTCCTGAGACTGTAAGTCTAAATGACAATTTATCCATTTTTCTTCTCATTTCCTCTAGGAATATCTCAGAAATATCCTCTTCAAGATAGTTGCATGATGATTCAATTTACCTATTTAGTTATAGTGGTTTTTGGTTAGTGGTTAGAAATGTTTCTTCATTTCTTTGCTTGTTGGTAGGTTGGCTTTTAAACAAATTCTAATTTCTTCTTGCTTTTAATTCTCATATTAGCAGCATAAATATTTGGTTCTGGATCCAGTAACTAGCTATGTCTTTTGAAAATAAAGCAGGTAAGAGTAAGTTAAACACTTTAATTTTATAATTAAAAAAATTCAGAAACTTTATGACATGTTTAGAAATTCTAATCAATAGGTTGAATGGCATGGAGTATGTTTTCAACATTCTGAATAATTGATTTCATTCTATTTACCAGATGTCATTAATTTGATACTGGGAAGTCAGGAGAGCTGGTGGAGAGACAATTTAAAAAGAGATTCCACCACAATGATTTGGCCACTAAAGCATGAATTGACCTCAAGAAACTAGCAGAAATTAAGTGTAGACACTTATATTATAAATTTTAATTCCTTCATGTCACAAAAGAGCTCACACTCTATTTTAAACTTTAATAAAATTGTAATAGAAAATTATTTGCGTTATAGTAGTCAGTCAGCATGTAACCATATTCATTGGAAGAGTCCAGAAAACATTTAAAGCAATAAAATTCTTCCACCACCTTATCCCTCAAATTAAGTTGTGTTTTTTTTTTTTAAAGCTAATTTTTGCATAGTAGGTTACTATTTGACTAGTCTGTTACTTGAACTTCTAAATCTTATTTTCCTTATTTAATCCTTTCACCATAATGAAAGCGTAAACTATGAGATAGTTTTAAGCATCTTGTTTTCACAATGAGCAACTTCACTTTACAAAGTTTTTTAGCTTATTATTTTCTTCAAATTTTTTTTTTCCTTTGCAAGAAACCTTGACACCAAACTTTTCTCATGGCATTTTGTATCTCTGTGTTTCTCAGGGTATAGATTAAAGGATTAAACATAGGCGCAATGATGGTATAAAATAGAGCAAAGACTTTATCTTCAGGGAAAGTGGTAGGAGGTCTAAGATAGATAAAGATTGAAGGAATAAAAAATAAAGCCACCACAGTGACATGAGATCCACAAGTAGACAGTGCTTTGCGTCTTCCCTCAGTTGAGTGATTTCTTAAGGTGAATATTATAATGACATAAGAAACAACTAAGACAGCAAAGGTTACTAAGGCAACCATACCTGAATTGGCAACCACAAGAGCACCAATGATGTAGGTATCAGTACAGGCAACTTTCAGTAAAGGGAATATATCACAAAAATAGTGATCGATTTCATTAGGACCACAAAAGGGTAACAGGATTGCCATAAATAATTGAGGAAAGGAATGGGCAGCTCCACCAAGCCAAGCAGCAAAGATAAGAAGATTACATCTTGTTCTGTTCAGGATAACCATATAATGGAGAGGTTTGCAGATAGCAACACAGCGATCAAAGGCCATGGGAGTAAGAATGAAGATCTCGATACCACCAAAAAAGTGCATGCTAAAGACCTGTAGCATGCAGCTATCATAAGAGATGGATTTTGTCTTCATTAGCAGGTCACTAATTAGCTTGGGTGTCACACTAGAGGTATAGCAGATGTCCATAGAAGACAAGTGGCTGAGGAAATAGTACATTGGTTGGTGAAAAAGAGAGCTGCATCGAATGGAAATGAGGATCAGCAAATTTCCTACCAATATGGAAACATAACAGAGTAAGAACAGTACAAAGCAAAATAACTGTATATTTGGGTCATAAGAAAGTCCTAAAAGAATAAATTCTGAGATGTTTTTCTGACTTTCCATAGATATAATATCGGCTTGGTATATTATAAAATAATGAGTTGTATAGCTGAAAATAAAGAAAATATGAACATGGATCAAGACTTAGTATAATAACAATAATATAAAACATAAAAATGTATTAGCATGCAATCATCTTAGTATAAATATTCTGTATTTATAGAATTAAGCTTCTTTTTCATTTATATTATTTTATATTATAAATAAATTATGAAATATACTTATAGTAGCAACAATAAGAATAATTATGTATTTCACTTAGTTTACCAGTAGGTTAAAAGAATATGTTCCCTTGAACATGAAAAAATTTTTATTGTTAATTATGATGTTGAAAAAAAATGTTTAATCAATTTATTATATTTTAATAAAGCATATTTTTCCTGATTTTGTGAGTTGTGTGCCTTCCTTTAAAAATCAACTTTCCTTCTCACAGCATGATCTGGGCCAGTTCCTGGACTATCTGGGAGTGTATGCTCAGGAAGTTTTAGAAATCTTTAAAACGTCTCAAATTTGGACTGTAGCATTTGTAGAGTTTATGCTTAAAGTGTCTTAATTGCATAGTGGGTAAGACATTAGCCTGCTAGCTTCAAGTGCAGCAGTTTGAATTCACTAGTCACTGCCCAGAAAAAAAATGAGGCTTTCTTCTCCCAAAAGATCTACAGCTTCAGAAACCCTTTACAAGATTGTTAGGAGTTGGAACTGACTCAATTTCACACAACAGCACTGTGTATATATGTTCTTGCTTATAACAAGTATGGCATTTTAAAAAATGAGCCATACTGTGGGGAAGCCAAAACCCTTTTCAAATTAGCATTCAAAAATTTTATTTCATCAGAAAAAAAACTCTCAGTTTTCTCTTATTTGATTTCAGTTCAGCTGTAAGTTCTCCAGATCTTCATTTTTTTTTTTAACATGCAAAAATAGTTACCAGAGCAAAAAAAAAAAAAAAAAAAAAAAAAGTTACCCCCTTAATAATGTTTAGTATTTAGAAGCATGTCAATAGTATTTTTTAATTCAGTGACCTATTTTGTATCTTCTTACAACTAATGCTGACTTCCTGTTTATGATAGAACATGTTTATTTTTTCAAATGTAATTATTTATCTCAGAGAAATTTATTTAAATATAATACTTTACATAAGTTAACATGGCAAACAATTTAAAAATAGACATTGCTCAATTAATACAAATACCTGCTTTTCAATAAAATCAGCACAGATAAAAAGGTTCGAAATTAGAAAGTGATACTCTGTAGGTATTGTTTTTATTGTTATTAAATGCCATCAAGTCAGTTTGACTCATGGTGACCTTGTATAGGGTTCCTGAGGAGCAGTTGGTGTTAGAAACCAAATATCCCAATTATCACTCTGTCTGGTGCTGCATCTATGCTTAAGATTAGAGTGCAAAAAGCAAGGAGGCAGAGGTGGCATAGGATATGTTGACAAGTTTTCAGTCCACCCGAATTTAATTGGACAATTCTCCAGCTATAAGTCATTTAAAAATAATTTTCTTTTAGTTTTACCAAAATGTAAATTCAACCAGTAAAGCTGTTTTCTTACTTTCTAAATCATCATAAATATTTAATGTTAATTAGCTCTTAAATTCTTTTTGTTCATAGAAGCATGTCACCATGATCATACAGTCAGGTGAAAAACTAAAAACAAATATTTTTTTCTCTCTTTGAAAATAGTAAGGAAAATTTCAAGGATAAAAGCAAAAATGTAATTGATAAGAGGTAAGAAATATTTGGCAACCACCATGTATGTGGTTAGAACTGTGGCACAGAAAAAGAAGTAAAAATATTGAAAGCTGTAAAATATGTTGATGAATTCTTAATCTTGAACTAGATGAAGTTTACTTAAACTTAATTTTCCTTATCTATGCATTTGATATATCAATACATTATTCAGAAATATAATGATAAATAAATGAGGTCATATAGAATACCCCAGTCTCACAAGTACATTATTTATGGCACATGTTATTTTAATTTAGTACTAAAATTGCCCTGCACATAAATATAACCAGCGTCTAAGAGGAAATAAACTACTCCCCATCACACCCCAAAACACTACCAACAACACAACATGTATTTAATGGAGGTGGTCTGAAAACTTCAATGTGAACAGTGCATTACTTAAAATGTACTAAGCTATCCTGAGGATAGATGGGCTACTTTAGACCATTTCCTAACATAAACAATTAAAATTAGATTTTCTTACACTTAATAGTCAAATGATTAATTTATTAGTTTTGTAGCAATGAAATATTTTTCTATCATTTTATTTGTATTCTTTTAGCATAGTGCAGGAGAAAGATGAGGCTTTCTGATCCCCAAAACACTTAACCACTAGGAAACCCTATACAGTGTCACTATGAGTCAGAACTGGCTCAAGGGCACTTAAAAACAATAACTCAGTAATATTAACAACAGATGCTCCTATAGTTAAAGTGTAGTTTCCACCACAAGTTAAATGTTTTTGTAGAGGGCTGAGAATGTGCCATGCTCTGAACTTACCTTAGTTGACAGAGATGAATCTAGTCTATTTTAGGATGACGTATTTATTGAAATATGGAGAATTCTTCATTGTTATAGATATTCAATCATAAATAAGGTTATAGCTTGAGAACAATATTGAGAAAGATACATTTGCACCAGAGTAGGACCAGTAAAGATCGCTGTCAACGTGAAGTTATCATTAACTTCTCAATGAGAAATTGTCTGTGTATACGTAATGCTAACATGTGCTGTAGCATTTTTATGTTAATCAAATGATCATATCATGCAAGAAAAAATACAGATTTAAGAAAGAAAATAAAACAAAGATAAGCAGCAAGTGCTCAGTATAAATATGTTTAATGGACTTCTCCCAAACCAAGGTAACATGGATAATTCACTAACCATCAAGTCTGATTTAGGCTTTAGTAGCGTAGTTATGAATCAGGCTGCTAACCTCCAGGTCAGCAGTTCAAAACTACCAGCTGTTTCGAGGGAGAAAGATAAGGCTTTCTGCTCCCATAAAGATTTGCAGCCTTGGAAACCCTGTACAGGGTCACTATGTGTCAGAACCTACTCCACGGTACTTAACAACAACAACAAACTGATTCAGAAAGAATTTCTCCCTGAGACACTCATTATGCTAATTCTTCTGAAAAATCTAACTCTGAAATAAAATGTGGAGAATTACAAATTAAAAATTCAAACGTATTAGGTTCCTGTAAATATACTCATGAAATTTCAAAACCCCTTAGAACATGCCACAGATTTGCAAGTGTGGTGGACTTCACATATCCACCAAACCACAAGTAATGCAAGAAAAGTGGATCTTTGTTTCACAAAAAGAAGCAAGCCAGGACAACAAAGATGCTCCCCCCAAAAAAGTTTTGAAATCCTTCAAAAGTCTAGCACACGTATTTAAGTCCTAGTAGTCATCTATCTGATGCTTATACCAGAAGAAAAACTTGTGGGAAGAGCAGAACATGTTAATGTGGCAACAGAAGAATTAATAGATCTTTGAAAGTTCTAAATGATCATATTCCCAACAGCACTTGTAAGCATGTCTTTGCCAAGTGACACTGACTGTCCATCATAATGGCCTTGGTGCCTCTGGGCATTTTCTGATCCTAATTCTACTTTCTATTTTTGCATTCTTCTGTTTTTGGCAGTTTCTATGGAGGCTTCCACAGATTATAGTCAGACGCAGAAAACCCTTCTAACTATGTGTTCAGCTAGTTTTTTATGAATAGGAGAGAAAATAATAAAGTCTGAGTAACTATTATTTCAGCTATAAGGAAAACTGATATTAGGCTGGACAAAGAATCAGACAAGCATTTGCAGTCCAATGTACGTTATTGTCAAAAGTAGCCTAGGAGTTTAGAAGCAGACCAATAAATCCTACAAGAATGGCCTACAAGAATATAACTATGACTGGATTATTTGTGGCCAGGGACAAACCCTTCTGGAATAGATGCTTGTGGAATCAGAGACAAAACAAAAGAAAACCAAAGTGACATATTTGCTCCACACACTTAGCAAGAAGAAAAAATACATCATTAAATATAAAACCATAAGAAAAAATATTAAGAAATCAACAAGCAAAATATAGGGAAGCTTTTCTTTGATTCTGTGTACATTTCTGTCTTCTCTCCTGTCACTGAATATTTATAGCTAGTTTAGGCTCATGCACACTCAGATACTCAGTTACTCAGCTTCTCTCTTGCCAGCATATACAAATCAATACATTAAAAGTTTTCTCGGAAATGTAAAACTTCAAGAACTCAGATTTTAGAGTGCAGATGTAGCTCAGATAAATTTATTTAGCAAAAATAAAAATAATAACCATAAGAATATGTTGAGCAATTATTGAGCTCTTAAAGTTTATTATATCACTTACTATTCATGATCATGCATATCTTTACATGATCATTAACATGTCTTTTATGCAGATAAGAGCACAAAAGCTTGGACAGATTAAATAACTAGCTCAAGCAACTTGTAAGTAACAGAGCATGGAAGTGGATATTTCTAACTTCTTCCACACTGAAAGTTCATCTAACATAAATTAATAAAGGATTCCAGCACTTCAAAATCAAGGATGTTTTCACTGGTTGTCTACTTCAATAATAGCTGATGTCTATCAAACTTTGCTGTTGCTAGACTTGTTGGGCACCATAAGATAAACACTCGACCTGAAGGTTGGTATGAACCGAAAAGTTGGTGGTTTAAACTCAACAGCCTCTCCCTGTAAACCCTATGCAGGATCACTATTAGTTGAAACTGGCTGGATAGCATCTAACAATAGACTATATCCAACAGGGTCACTATGAGTCAGAACCGACTCAATGGAACATAACCACCACCACCAATCACAGAAGGAGACAGCTGGTTGCATCCTCCACATAAACACAAGCATAAGAAGTCTCCTTTGAGAAGCATATGGTGACTTGTGTTGTTGTTAGGTGTCATCACTTCAGTACCAACTCAGAGCAACTCGATGCACAACA